GTCCCTTGGCCAAATTCAAGAGGAGGTTGGATGATCACCTGTCTGGGGTCTTGTGAACCCAGCATTCATCCCTGCCTGTGGCAGGGTGTCAGGCGAGATGATCTGTTCAGGTCCCTCCTGCCCCTACCTACTAGGAAACTATGAAAATGTGTGTCCATATCAGTCAAAACAATCCAATTCCTTACTCTGAAAATTGCCGTTTTGAGTGTCAATTCTGGACAGTTTTCTAAATTGCTAGCAATATTTTCATGGAGAATAAACTTTTTCTTCTACTTTTTTTTGTTAGAAACTTTTTTCACTGGGGAATGTTGATTATTCTGTCTGATTTGAAAGCAAAACACAGTTCATATTTTGCAGGATTTGGGGGGGAACAGCAATCTCAATTTCCATGGAGTTGTACAGTACCAGATTTGGGTCTCCACCGAGTTTGCTGCTTCATCATTTCTAAGAAAGGCCATGCTCCTGGAATTAGTGGACTTCATAGGATAGGCTGCTTGTTGGAAGGGATAATGGATTGAGGGACTGGCGGCTTGAAAGCCATTTTGGCTTGACATAATTAAATCACCTTCCAAAATCCCCAGGCTCACCTATCTACTGTTTCCAGGTGGTGAAATAGAAGGACAACCTAAATCCAGCATCACGACAGTCATGATTTGTATAGAAGCTCAAGTGAGTAGACACTTAGAAGAAATCATTTCCAACCCTTCAGCATGGTGTGGAAGACCATTAGCTCCCTTGCAAAACCTGTACAAGGAAATCATGATTAAGACTCCCAGCACCAGAGTGATCACTGACATCTCCTACCTAAAAACTATTATCACTACCCTTTAAACATTCTCCTACCCTCCTTCCAGATCCCAGATAGGCGAACCTCAAGAAAATATTGTAACACATAAAGGAGAAAGATCTCACGATATTCTCCAAGAGGCATTTTTTGAGATATAGAAGTTATGTACAAGATGTTGCAATAGTGCAGTAACAAATGACACTATCAGCATCAAAGCTGAATTTCGACAGACACCAAGACAGTAGCTAGGGCTGAGCAGCATCTTAGAGACTAACTAGTTCAGGGAGACATAAGCTTCAAATTAAATACAGAGATTATTTTAAATAGTGTAGTGCTAAAGCAACAAAATGGGAATCGGTGGAATTAATTTGTATTAATAACACAGTTGGTTGTTTCTATAAAGATGTTCAGTGGAACCACAGTCACTGGAGAATAACTGACATCTTTG